GCATCACAATCCCAGATTTCAAGCTATACTACACAGCTGTAATCATCAAGACAGTATGGTACTGGCACAAAAACAGACACTCAGATCAATGGAACAGAATAGAAAACCCAGAAATGGACCCACGAATGTATGGCCAACTAATCTTTGACAAAGCAGGAAAGAATATCCAATGGAATAAAGACAGTCTCTTCAGCAAGTGATGCTGGGAAAACTGGACAGCGACATGCAGAACAATGAACCTGGACCACTTTCTTACACCATACACAAAAACAAACTCAAAACAGATGAAAGACCTCAATGTAAGACAGGAAGCCATCAAAATCCTTGAGGAGAAAGCAGACAAAAACCTCTTTGATCTTGGCCGCAGCAACTTCTTACTCAACACGTCTCTGGAGGCAAGGGAACAAAAGCAAAAATGAACTATGGGGACCTCATCAAAATAAAAATGTGAAGGAAACAATCAGCAAAACTAAAAGGCAACCGACACAATGGGAGAAGATATTTGCAAATGACATATCAGATAAAGGGTTAGTATCCAAAATCTATAGAGCTTATCAAACTCAACACCCAAAAAACAAATAATCCAGTGAAGAAATGGGCAAAAGACATGAATAGACACTTCTCCAAAGAAGACAGCCAGATGGCCAACCGACACATGAAAAAATGCTCAATGTCACTCATCATCAGGGAAATACAAATCCAAACCACGAGATACCACCTCACACCTGTCAGAATGGCTAACATTAAGAACTCAGGCAACAACAGATGTTAGCAAGGATGTGGAGAAAGAGGATCTCTTTTGCATTGTTGGTGGGAATGCAAGCTGGTGCAGCCACTCTGGAAAACAGTATGGAGGTTCCTCAAAAAACTAAAAAGAACTACCCTACGACCCAGCAATTACACTACTAGGCATTTACCCGTGGGATACAGGTGTGCTGTTTCGAAGGGACACATGCACCCCCATGTTTATAGCAGCACTATCAACAATAGCCAAAGTATGGAAAGAGCCCAAATGTCCATCGATGGATGAATGGATAAAGAAGATGTGATATATATACACAATGGAGTATTACTCGGCAATCAAAAAGAATGAAATCTTGCCATTTGCAACTACATGGATGGAACTGGAGGGTATTATCCTAAGTGAAATTAGTCAGAGAAAGACAAAAATCATATGACTTCACTCATATGAAGACTTTAAGACACAAAACAGATGAACATAAGGGAAGGGAAACAAAAAGAATATAAAAACAGGGAGGGGGATAAAACAGAAGAGACTCATAAATATAGAGAACAAACTGAGGGTTACTGGAGGGGGTGTGGGAGGGGGGGATGGGATAAATGGGTAAGGGGCACTAAGGAATCTACTCCTGAAATAATTGTTGCACTATATGCTAACTAATTTGGATGTAAATTTAAAAATAAAATAAAAAATAAAATAAGATTTGATTTATGTTGGTTAAGGGTCCAACTCTTGATTTTGGCTCAGGTCATGATCTCATAGTTTGTAGGATCGAGCCCCACGTTGGGCTCCGTGCTGACACTGTGGAGCCTGCTTGGGACATTGGGACATCTCTCTCTCTCTCTCTCTCTCTGACACTCCACTACTCATACTTTCTCTCTCTCAAAATAAATACACATTTAAAAAAATATTTTAAAAATAAAATAAGATTCAATTGCAGACCTAGAACTCCATTATCCTGGAAGGAGGAAGAAATGGTTCTAGCCCTCATGCACTGGAAGATGAGAACCTAATGCAATAATGAGATGCAAATAAATTCACAGCATTAGTGCTGGGGAGAGAAAGGACTGTGGCCTGGAAAAGAGATGCAGCCAAATCCAAAACAGAGCTCAGATGAAAATACTAAGGTTTGGGGGCTGCCTTCCTGAGATACAACTGAGGGCTGAGAGAACCAGTTAGGTTGGAGGGTCCAGTTGCATTCTGCCAAGTTCTAGGACTATCTGAGAGAGGCTAAAGAGGTAGTGCAAGCCTGTGTTTCTGAGAAAAGAATTGGAAAAGACTTGTGGTATACTGAAACCCTCCCCTTAGCAAAGTTAGGCTGTTAGGATGGGTGAGGGGTGTCGCATGGGGGCCTCTTAGGAAGAGGGAGCAGCTCATGCAAAGAGACAGCATGTGTCTTCCCTGGTTGGAGTATAGAGTTTTTTAGGCCATGGAGAACAGTGGAAAAGAAGCTGGAGAGGCAGGGCTAAGACAAGATCACGAAGAGCTATGTAAGACACATTCTATGGTTTGCACAGAGAGGAAATAACCCTATTCCTTTCACTTACATTCATAAGTAAGCAAGACTTATTCATGCCTTAAGGTCCAGCTCTCACTGCTGTCTCCTTTCCCCAAACTCTCTTAGTATGGATTGTGTTATTTGCATTTGTCTTTAGCATGTCTTGGCTTATTTTTCAGCTAGGCTTAAGTGTCTTGAGAACAAAAACCAAATATTTATTTTATATCTATATGTTTAACAATTCTTGGCACATTCATTCTTCTGAGAAACCTGTATTAGCCATGCCAAGCATGCTCCTAGGTAGCAAATACAATAAACATCCCTCCTGCTCTTCTAGAGCAAATGAGGGCAGCCCAGGACAGATGTTCAATATGTAAGTCCTGGTCTTTTGGTAAGACTGTTAAGACTGGTCACAAAATATGCAGTTGCACTAATGGATGCCTTGCTTTAAATATCTTTATAGAGATTGCTTTTACAAATACTACACAAAGGGCCACCTGGGTGGCTCGGTCGGTTAAGCATCCGACTTCAGCTCAGGTCATGATTTCACGGCTCATGGGTTTGAGCCCTGCATCAGGCACTGTGCCAGCAGTGCTGAGCCTGCTTGGGATTCTCTCTCTCTCTCTCTCTCTCTCTCTCTCTCTCGTCCTCTTTTCCTACCCCTCCCCAACTTGAACTTTTTCTCTCAAAAATAAATAAACTTAAAAAGAAAAAACAGGGGTGCCTGGGTGGCTCAGTCGGTTAAGTGGCCGACTTCGGCTCAGGTCATGATCTTGCGGTCTGTGAGTTCGAGCCCCTCATCGGGCTCTGTGCTGACAGCTCAGAGCCTGGAGCCTATTTTGGATTCTGTGTCTCCCTCTCTCTGACCCTACCCCGTTCATGCTCTGTCTCTCTCTGTCTCAAAAATAAATAAACGTTAAAAAAAATTAAAAAAAGAAAAAAGAAAAAACAAATACTACACAAAGAGACATCTTCATACATATGAATGTTTCTACAATGATAATTATATCTTTATTTACTTTCAGAGGGAAATTTTTCCAGATTATCACAGATCTTCCATGATTAAATAAAATTTCTATGGAATATTGTGAAGGGTGTTCCACAGTTCTTCAGTTATGAAAATGATGACATTGACTCTCAAACAATAGAAATCAATCCAAAAGATTTGCATCTGAGTTAGAAATGGAATATCTACCCACATTCTGTTTGATGTTAATTCACTTGCTCTGAATCAGGTAATAGATGGGATAAGAGTGGGAAAGGCAGTTAATTATAGGGAATTTTAAAAAGCTGCATTTAAAATCTCCATTATAGAGCGGCAATTTAGACCAAACTGCTTCAGAATGGTTTTATCAGTGCTTCTCCAGAGTGGTCCCCAGGGCAGCAGTTGGAGCGGCGCCCAGGAAGTTGTTAGCAGGTGCAGATTCCCATCACTCTCCTATGCTGCTAAAGCAGAAACTCTGGGCCTGGGTGTCTGCCCAACCCTCCAGGTGGTTTGTTGCTCACTAACATTTGAGAACCACCAGGTTTCCTCTTGCCTATTCTGGGAACCTTCACGGAAAAGAGAGTCCTTAGCAAAACTGTCCCTTATGTCATTGAACATTAGGGCAGGTGAGGCTTTAGAGAACATATAGACCAACTTTCCTGTGTTTTTTACAGATCTGGAAGCTGAAACCCAAAGATTATCAATGGCAACTAAAATTGGAGCAAAATGTGTTCTAGCATCAAAGCTGAGATACACAGGATGGACAGGCAGCTATAATTTTGCTTACTTAAAATAAATTTTCACTTTTCAAGGGTCCATTGTGTGGAAAACCCTTTATATTTAGGAATAGACCCAGATGTAGTTGCAAAACCAATCACATCTAAGGCTAAATCAAAATATTTGAAAATGTTCTGGAAAGAGAAAAAGCCTTAATTCAGTGACTAAATCGAGAATTCCCTGACCAGAAAGATCAGACTTCACATCAGATTCAAACCTAAGCCAACACTCATGGCTTCTCAACCAGTCAGAAACTAGGAATATTTCCCTGCCTTATTCAAAAAGTTCCTTAAGAGGATAAGACAGCTTTCCCAAGTAATAGTGTTGGCCCAGAGCAATGGTTAAGAACACAAACAAGCCTTAGACCACCTGCTAGTGGTAATGGTCTTGGGCAAGTCACCTTAGTTCTCTGTGCCCCAGGTCTCCATCCACCTCAGAGGACAGTGTAAAAGCTCCAAATATTAGTAGCAGTATTACCAAACCCACAGTGTGGACTATTTGTGTGCTATTTTCTACTTATGAAACAAGCACCTTTACTGAATGTCAGAGAGCTATTTCCATTATACTGGGTGGTGTCTATATTGGTCTAGCGACACTGATGCATCATGACACCTAAGTAGCAATAAGGGAAGGTTAAGGGCATAATTAGTGTTACAGTAGAAGGGTCACCAATTGCCCTCCATAGCAGCTCCATCTCCAACTGAGCCTCAGAGCAATGTGCCCTAACAACTAAGCAAACAGCCACAAGTGATTTGAGACCCCAAATTATATGGTATCTCATTGACAGATAAACTTTTCCTGCAAATGTCCTCACCCAAGGAAAATCTTCAAAATATTTTGTAGCAGCCTAATAAATACTTCGTGGCTAGAAGTGTCCAGAGTGTATCATTTATCATCTTTGTGTGCCTGAGGACACAAATGCTTTGAGGATATCTCTTAAAGGGAAAAATACCCTGTTACATCTTCAACCATGGCATCCCAGTGCTAAAACCCCTTACCCTGCTATGAAACTTGGCAGTTCGATAAGACTTGGGTGACAGATTGTACACCGTGTAGTGGTCAAGATGTCTGGAATCCAAAAAGCTTCGGATGTCATCCACCTGATTCCTGAATCCTATGTCAACATTGTCCAGAGGAAAGGACATCACTAGGAGGGATCACAGAGAGAGAATATCGGTTAAATGGGTATGCTGTTGCAATGAGCAGCAACTGAAAGCTGAGCTGTTAATAAACATGAGAAACTTACCAATAATTCTGGAGGTAACATAAGTAAAGTCTAAATCTCCCTTCGTGTAGCTAAAAGCAAGACAAGAAAGGGTGCTCATTAAAGTGATCCAAATATGCCAGGATATCCCCCTCTCGATCACTTGCCCATCATGACTTGGACACTTCATCCAGTAGGCGTTTTTACTTAGCTCAAGTTTTTTTTTTACTTAGCTCAAGGCCTTCTCTCTAACAAAGGATAATTGTTGAGAGAAGCAACCCATACCCTCAGGAGCGTAAATCTACCACTCCAACTGATGTACCCCAATACCCTTTGTAGGTGACACTTCCTGAACAGAATCAATCTCAGAATAGAAAACAGTGCTTATTCATTAACACTGATTATTCCAGCCTCTTTGCCTGCTTGAACATCTCCTGTAAGTGTGAACAGTGAGAGGGTAGGTAAGGAAGTGATGGAGAAACAACAAGGGATATCTTTTCTCTGTCCACCAGGCCCTGGTTGGCAATTGCTGGTAAGGGATAAATTTTGCCTTTGAACAAAGATTAAAATCTTGATTAATCTTTTGGGCTTGACATTTGAATTTATGATTCAAAACTGCACATTACAACCTAAAGTGATCTTAGAATTTTCTAATACCTAAGTATAAAATAGAATTCATATGGTCTGCTTATAAGAATTTTCATACAGCAGAAGGGTAGAAAATGTCTTCCACTAAACAAGATTCAAAGAGCTACTAAGATACAAAAAATAAATGCTTCCATTATAATCCAATGAGTATTTTTCAGATTGCATGTGCATTATTATCTCATTTAACTTCTCATTTAATTCTCAAACCAACCAAAGATATGAATCCTACCAGAGTATAAAAGTCAAGCTCAGAGAGGTTAATTAAATTGCCTAGATCACATGGTTAACAAGAGCAGATAATGCATTAGAACCCAGGATGCTGGATTCAAAAGACAGGGATGGCAACCAGTATATTTTAATATAAAAATGCACTGAGTCCTCCTGGCCTGTGCTTGTAGCTTCCGAAGGCCTCAACTTTATGGCTTCAATGACATTGCTTGGTTGATCAGATTCCATGCAATTATATCACACAATTGACAGTCCTTGAGCCAGAAAATCAGTTGGCTGGTAACCAGGTAACCAGATCCTTTGGAGGCACGGAGGTCCATTAACTTAACTGGGAAGAATGCACATACCTGGTAACAGATTGTATAACTCTGGAAGATGTGTCTTTGAGGGTGTCTTTCAAGTTGTCCTTTAAGTTACTGAAGAGCCTCCCTGCACCTCCTTTCACCATGTCGAAGAGACCTCCCCCATAGCTGGGCTCCATGTCTGGGGATGAGGCACCTGCCAATGAAAAACAGAAATGGAGCTGATACACAGACTACATGATCTCTCTTCATTCCCATAACATACGCAGACCAGGAAAGATATTCCTGTAAGTTATGCTCGCTCTCAGAAGTTACTGACTCTGGGTTACTGCAGTGCTGCTGGGCCTGGGAGACCAAGGGAAGCACTTTGCTAAGTCTCACATTTTTTAACATGAATATTAGAAAAAATGTAATTGTCCATGTGGCCTTCATTATACTTCTCTGAGACAATGCCCACATCAGAGGAAGAGCAGCTTAGCTTAGAAGTGTGTTCAGGGGCCTCCTCTGCCCTGCGAGGGAGTTGAATGTGTTAGAAGATTCATCTCATGCCTCTCCCGCTAAGTCATTCTTCATGTCCATCATGGAAAATAACCTCTCAGGGGCCTTTTAACAGTTTTTTTTTTTTTAATTTTTTTTTTCAACGTTTTATTTATTTTTTTGGGACAGAGAGAGACAGAGCATGAACGGGGGAGGGGCAGAGAGAGAGGGAGACACAGAATCGGAAACAGGCTCCAGGCTCTGAGCCATCCGCCCAGAGCCTGACGCGGGGCTCGAACTCACGGACCGCGAGATCGTGACCTGGCTGAAGTCGGACGCTTAACCGACTGCGCCACCCAGGCGCCCCCTTTTAACAGTTTTTAGGATGCATGGTGATCATCAGTATTATTTATCAAGTATTTCAGTTTTTCATTCCTTACAGCTTCACAAAATTGTACCTTCTGGTCCCTTGTCGTTAGCTCAACCTTGGCACCACTGACATTTAGAGCCAAATACCTCTTTGCTATGGGGGTGGGGATGCCCAGTACATTGTAGAGTATTTAGCAGCATCCCTGGCTCCTAGTCACTAGATAGCACCAGTAGCACCCCACTGCCACCAGCTGGGACAACCCAAATTGTCTCCAGACATTGGCACATATCCCCTGGAAGGCAAAACTACCCCTGGTTGAAAACCACCACTCTAGTCTATGATATGTCAGTGAAGGTAGGTACTGTGTGTCACTCAGGATACAGCACTTAACTGTGAGTGTGAAACTCCCCATACTTCTCATTCCCTCTCTGTGTTTCTGTCCGTCTCTCTCTCTTTCTTTGCCCTAGCGACTGGCAAGGTTTGAGATCATGGCTGCTCTGTCCAGGACTCCCAGGTCCTGGAATAGGAAACTGTGTGGCAGAGCTCCCAGCTGACCTTCAATGAACATGCAGGATGAGTGATGACCAACCCTTTATTATTAGAAGCACCCCCATTCCATTTTGGGAATGTTCCTCATCATAACACAACTTAGCTTACAAAGGCTGATACAGGAAGAAAGAAGGAACCTGCATAGAGGAGGCTAATGTAAACAATGGCCAGGTAGCCTCTTCAGCCTAGCAGTCAAGAGCAGGAGTCATTCTCAGCTGGGTTCTGGCTCAGCCTTGCTACTCCTGTGTGACCTTGGGAAGGAAGTAACAGTCTTTTTTTTTTTTAAGTTTATTTATTTATTTGGAGAGAGAGAGCAGGGGAGGGACAGAGAGAGAGAGAGAGAGAGAGAGAGAGAGAGAGGGAAAACAGAGAATCCCCAGTAGGCTCTGCACTGCCAGGGCTTGAACTCACAAACTGTGAGATCATGACCTCAGCTGAAATCAAGGGTCAGAGGCTTAACTGACTGAGCCACCCAGACACCCTGGAAGTAACAGTCTTTATAAGCCTCTTTCTTCCTGACTCTAAAATTGGGATAAAAATAGTGCCTTCTTCATAGGGAAAGGTTAAATAAGTGCATATAAAACTATTAGCATAGAACCTAATATATTTAGGGGCCAACAGACTGCAGCTAACTATTATTATGTCACACCCCGAAATTCTTATGTTATTTTTAATCATTATTCACTTTTCAACTATATGATGACATCTCTTCTTTTTTAAAAATTGTAATATTTATTTACTTTATTTTAAACTGTAATATTTATAATGGACTTTAAAATATGTTAAGGAGGGGGGTGGTGCCTGGGTGGCTCAGTCAGTTAAGCCTCTGATTCTTGATTTCAGCTCAGGTCATGATCCCAGGGTCACAGGACCAAGCCCCACTTCAGGCTCTGCACTGGGCATAGAGCCTGCTTGAGAGTCTCTCTCCTCCTCTCCCTTGCCCCTCCCCCACTTACATTCATGCTCTCTCTCCCTCTCAAATAAAAAATAAATAAAATATTTCAAAAAGACAGATTTCATGTTAAGTATTCATATAAAAAATACTTCACAAGGAGATTTTTGGAGATTGTGGTAATAGTATCGTAAGTATACACACATTTTTTTTTCAATATATGAAATTTATTGTCAAATTGGTTTCCATACAACACCCAGTGCTCATCCCAAAAGGTGACCTCCTCGATACCCATCACCCACCCTCTCCTCCCTTCCACCCCCCATCAACCCTCAGTTTGTTCTCAGTTTTTAAGAGTCTCTTATGCTTTGGCTCTCTCCCACTCTAACCTCTTTTTTTTTTTTTTCCTTCCCCTCCCCCATGGGTTTCTGTTAAGTTTCTCAGGATCCACATAAGAGTGAAAACATATGGTATCTGTCTTTCTCTGTATGGCTAATTTCACTTAGCATCACACTCTCCAGTTCCATCCACGTTGCTACAAAGGGCCATATTTTGTTCTTTCTCATTGCCATGTAGTACTCCATTGTGTATATAAACCACAATTTCTTTATCCATTCATCAGTTGATGGACATTTAGGCTCTTTCCATAATTTGGCTATTGTTGAGAGTGCTGCTATAAACATTGGGGTACAAGTGCCCCTATGCATCAGTACTCCTGTATCCCTTGGGTAAATTCCTAGCAGTGCTATTGCTGGGTCATAGGTTAGGTCTATTTTTAATTTTCTGAGGAACCTCCACACTGTTTTCCAGAGTGGCTGCACCAATTTGCATTCCCACCAACAGTGCAAGAGGGTTCCCGTTTCTCCACATCCTCGCCAGCATCTATAGTCTCCTGATTTGTTCATTTTGGCCACTCTGACTGGCGTGAGGTGATATCTGAGTGTGGTTTTGATTTGTATTTCCCTGATAAGGAGCGACGTTGAGCATCTTTTCATGTGCCTGTTGGCCATCCGGATGTCTTCTTTAGAGAAGTGTCTATTCATGTTTTCTGCCCATTTCTTCACTGGGTTATTTGTTTGTCGGGTATACACACATATTTAAAGTCATCAAAATGTATACATTAAATGTGTGTAATTTTTATATATCAACTATACCTCAATAAAGCTAGAAAAAAATAAATTGGAAGAAAAAGGAAAGTTGGAGGAGGAATCTATAGATCAAAATATATTAAGAGACAAATCAGCCAATGGGGCACCTGGGTGGCTCAATTGGTTGGTTGAGCATCCAACTTCAGCTCAGGTCGTGATCTCACTGTCAGTGTGTTCGAGCCCCGCGTTGGGCTCTGTGCTGATAGCTCAGAGCCTGAAGCCTGTTTCAGATTCTGTGTCTCCCTCTCTCTCTGCCCCTCCCCAACTCATGCTCGCGCGCGCTCTCTCTCTCTCTCTCTCTGTCAAAAATAAATAAACATTAAAAAAAAATTTTTTAAAGACAGATCAGATCTTGTTTGGAACTTAATCCAAGCAAACTATAAAAAATTAATCACATTTATGGGGCGACTGGAATTTGAGCACTTCCTGAGTATTTGATATTAAAGGTTTACTGTTACTTTTTTAGGGGTAATAATACTGTAGTTATGTTCAACAACAGTCCTCACTTACCAGAATAAATACTGAAACATTTATAAATGAAAAATTGCAATATTTAAGGTTTTTTTTTAATAAATAAAAGATAAAGATACGTGTAATGAGAACCATAATTACGAACGCTCATGTAACACTGAACTATCTGCTAGGTATTATTCTAAGCATTTTACCAATATTTATTCATTTAACCCTCAAAGCATACCTGTGAAGAAGATATTATTATTATTTTCTTTCACAGCTCAGAAAACTGAGGCAGAGAGCTTAAGAAACTTGTTCAAGGGTGCACAGCTAGTGAGTAAATGGTAGGGTTTGGATTTGAGCCTTAGGCAACCCTTCCAATCACATCCCTCTTTCTTACCCTAATACTATTCTGATTTTTATATGTATCATTCCAAATTTCTTTAAACATTTATTATATATGTACTTATCCATAAGCAATATATTAATATTGTTTTCCATGTTTAAAGCTGTTTATAAATGGTTTTGTGTTTGCAATTTTCTTTCTTTCCTCACTATGATTTAAAATTATTCTATGATGGTGCTACCTGTAACTTTATCTCACTTAACGTATGATCCATTACCACACTGATGGACGGTCGGGTCATTTACTATAACAAACAATGTGGTTATGAACACATTGCCTTGATTATATACAGGAGATTCTCTCTAGGTTATATGTAGGAGTAGAATTTACTAGCAAGAAGGATATGCACATTTTTAGATTTCTAGATATTGACCAGTTATTTCCCAGAGTAGTCATATCAGTTTAAACTCTTACTAGTAGTGCTGTACAACACTTGGTTATTGTTTGACTTTATAATTTTACCAACCTGGTGAGTGTGAAGCAATATCTCATTTTGGTCTTGTTTTATGATTTTTCCCCAGTTAGCGAGTTGTGTATCTTTCACTGTGTTTATTGGCCAGGCAGCTGTTCTTTATGTTTTTTTAAGCTCATTTACTTATTTTGAGAGACAGTGTGAGTTGGGGAGGGGCAGAAAGATAGGGAGAGAGAGAATCCCAAGCAGGCTCCACACTGCCAGCATGGAGCCCAACGCAGCGCTCGATCTCACGGACGGTGAGATCGTGACCTAAGCTGAAATCAAGAGTCAGATTTAACCGACTGAGCCACCCAGGCAGCCCCAGGCAGCTGTTCTTTAAATCATACTTCAGGTTCCCACTAAACTCTTATGTGCCATCTGAATGGCAATACATATACCTATAAATACTTGCTGACTATTGTGTACTTTCATCCTCATCACAAAAGC